AGTCATTTTTACACAAAACAGATAGCAGTATACTGCATACTGCACAAACGATATACAGAGACAACATTTCACTCTAAATTCACACCTATGGTCATTTTAGAGTTACCAATTAACCTAACCCTAACCTGCATGTCTTTGAACTGTTGGAGGAAGTCGGAGACCTGGAATAAAAACCCCAAACAAACACTAAGCACATGTAAACTCCTCACAGAAAAAGACCCCAGCCGAACCCAGATTCAAGTGGGAACCTTCTTGCTTCCTGACAGCAGTGCTACCCCCTGCAACACCATGCTGCCCATTTAGTCCCAAATACATTTTTATATTAGGATCAAAGTCTGTCTCTCATGTGTTTTACAAAACAAACATGAGATAATATTGTCATATGCGATATTTTGATAATCAAAAATCAGTTCTAGGGGCCCCTCAAACCCCTGGTGTTCTATAGATCACACTTCACTATTCCTGGATGAGGTAATATTTTTTCTCTTGGAAATCTCAAATATTATTTGCTAATAACATGTTAGCACATGAGCTAAGCCAGTATCAGCCACACTGTGGCAGACACACTGATGAGCATTATGTTGAAAATAGTTGAAACATGAAATTCAAGTAAAAGTAAAAAAAGTAAACAGCCAAGCTGCATGTAAAATTTCTAAAATGTTTTTCGGATATAATGAATAATATGCACTATTACACTGTATCACCAGTATACTATATTAGGAGAGGATGTGATTGTAAAGGAGACTGATTTTCAGTACCACAGCATTACAGCATACACACAAAACACAATTTAGTGATCCAGTCCAAGAGTTTGGAATGGCATTAATTGTTAGGTCACTGAGTTATAACCGTGCACTCCATATAGTGGATACAATAGCTGCAAATGTGATGCTTGTGACAATTATCACTATAACAGATTTATCCTTGTATTAAAAAATATTCACAATAAGGCGCATTATTAAAGAAATACATGTATCTCTATAAAAAACTTTCATTTGTTAGGAAGGCAACAGAAAATTACCATCCGCTTCCTCTAATCAGCCATTGTCTCATTCTTAGCTTCTAGTTTGGAATCAGTGGTGGTGAAATGACTTAAGAGCTGTTTTGATATGGTCCTCCTGACCAGGACATGTATGTACTCCGACAAAGAACCTGAGCTCCAACATAACCCGTGATGAGAAACCAGAGCCACCCACAGAGTTTACGGGCTACAAAACCTATCCTGAAACACTCCAGCATAACCATGGATCTGTCGCTCTGATGAACGTCACACCGCACAGTGAAAAACAGGTCGCTTGGATTCGACTCTCTGCAAACATAGAATAACCCTTCGTTATTGAAATAAATTGGGTGTGTTCGTATTTATGCAAGCAACGCAGCAACTAATTCAACACAATGTCAGTTCCATCCCAACATTTAGTTTGTTAATACAAATACCAGTAGATCTTTTGCTAATATGTCAGCTGTTTAAGATTATACCAGTTATGTGCCGTTAGAGATGTGCTGCAAAGTGGCCTTGAATTGCCAAATTTTGAATTAAGTTGGGCGTAACGTTTACCACCTCACATGTTCAGTAAAATTAACGGTGCCCGATGCACACTTGTGCTATTGCGTCAAAAATACTAACGCGCAGGATCTTCGCTGTGCTGTATTAGCTCGCTGAGCCTAAACTCGCTTTCCACAATAACCTGAAAACCCACATCTGCGCCCCCCCCCCCCCCCCCCCCCCCCCACTATGATAAGAGGGGATGGATGGACAAAGGCGAGGTTAGAGGTAGAGGTCTGGTGGGTGCTGAGGGTTTGTTTACCTTACAGAGATGCAGCAGTGGCGATGCGGAGTCGCGGCTGATGCGCAGGAGGCGACTTGATGCTGCTGGGTGGATCAGATGCTAGAGGCTGCTCTCACACCTCGATACGATCCTGTTCTCCTCTCCTCCTCAATCCTGTGCCCTGTTCTCTCTTTCCCTCTCTACGCTTTTACATTTTAGACGAGGCGAGGGTAGCGCTCTCTCTCTCTCTCTCTCTCTCTCTCTCTTTCTCTAATTTATGCATTCACCGATCACCTTCTGGTCTCCTGTCACCAGCGTCGAACACAATTAACACATCCGGTCTCTGTATTCCAAAATAAATGTGTCCAAATACAATGCTGGTGAGGTCCCAAACCTTTTAATTTGAAGGAGATATTGACAGTGTTCCGGGGATTGTATCCAGTAAGCTTGACGCAGCGGCGGCACTTTCCTTTTGTTGTAGGCGCTCGGTCGGCGAGAAGTGAGGAGGAGGAAGAGGCGGGTGCATCCTCCTCCTCCTCCTCCTCCGCCTCCTCCTTCCTCCTGCTCCCCGGGGACCACAGACTCCCTCCAATAGAACGCTTATTACACCACTCGTTCGTAATTAAGCTGAAAACTCGGCCAATCTTCTTTCGATTTAGTTTAATTCAACTTTTATCTTGAAAACCTGAAAACACAAAATAAATAAAGTATGCCCAGTGGAATAAACTATGGCTATATGATTACAACACAGCGAATTGAAATCAAACTTTGTGTCATCCGGTTTGTTTTGTAGGGTCTTGTTTTTAAAGCATTTTAACATGTTTTACTTAAGAATGTCAGCTGTAATGGAAAGCTTATAATGCTTATAACTTAAAAAACTAAACTTAGAAAACTAAATCAAGATAGTAAGCAGAGTATAGAATAGAATAGAATGCCTTTAATGTCATCACACAATGAAGTATGGCAAAATTACAGCAGCTACCACTGAAAGGTGCATTTAGTAAAAAAGAAATAAAATATAACAATAAAAATTAACATGTTTACAGGAAAACATTTTAAAAACTATACAAAATAGTGCAAAAAGAGGTGGGAAAGGAGGTAGTTGTGGTTGGATAGTATTAAAATTATTTTTTGGAGTTCAGTGTTCTGACAGCCCATGGATAGAAGCTGTTCCTCAGTCTATTGGTTCTGCATTTCAATGACCTGAGCTGCTTCCCAGACGGCATTAGGTTAAACAGTCCATAGCCAGGGTACACCATTAGACTACAGACTGTTTGTGTTTACTAAGTACACATTCCTGAAACATATACAGTGCTATAAACAAACACTATTAAGACAAAATAAAAGGAGGTGCCATATAGTGCTGGATATCTTATGACTCATAGGAAAGTTACAGGGAAATCCTGAACTGACTGTGTGCCCCAACCACTCGTTTCCCACACATTTCCACTGAATATATTTATTCATATTTTAAACAACACACGTTGTGAAATTTAAACACATAAGTACTTAAATAATTTGTCATGGTTAGATTTTTTGAATAAAAAAAATAA